CAGCTTCTGATTTAATTACTTGCCATGCAGCTGAACACTTATTCTTAGAACTTGTTATTCTGCTTTCATTGTGCATGATTTTGGACCTGTACAATTTCTTTTTTTCTTTGTAGTAGTTCTTCAGTGTCATGTTATTTTTATAATTTGGTATCTTTAATAGATCCTGCAACAAAATTACTGTGCTTCTCATTCTTCTTAAGCTATGGTCAAACCAAGAAGAATTATGTCTAATTGGTTTTCTTCGTTGAACTTTTTTACTCTTTGTTGGACAAAGCTATTATACACAGTTGATAGTTTAGTTACAAAGTATTCAAATGCGAAATTAACATCCTCAATACCATACAACAAGTCCCAATTTAAAATGGAGGTTGCTTCAATAAACTCATGCAAAGTCTCATAATTTAGTTTCCTATATGAAATACAGATTGGGGAACAAAGGTAGGCACATTAAATTCAAAGTAAATAATCGAGTGATCTGAGATCCTGTCCTTCCATATACATGTTTTATAAAGACTATCATCTAAATCAGTAACTATATTATCAATACCGTACCGGTTTTGTTTCTAGTTGGAAATTTATTTACACATTTGAGGTTAAATGACTTAAAATGGTTAACAAACATTACAGTGTCTTGGTCCACACTCTTTAAGATGTCAATATTAAAATCTCCCCCAAGTACAATTTTGCATTTAGGTTTTTTTCTTTGCACATAGTATAGAAGATTGTCAAGATAATCCAGAAATGTTTTGCAGTTAGAGTTGGGAGTTCTGTAAATAGATATGAACACCACGTTAAATATATTTACATATATACAAACAGCTTCAAGGAAACCAACTTCCGTTAAATGAGCAATATTGATCACCTCAAAAGAAATGTCATCCCTAACAAGAATAGAGGCACCCCCATAAGCATTCTCTCTACAAAATGAAGCAGCCAATTTAAAACCTACTGGAACATACAAGGAGACTTCCAATCTGTGCAACCAGTGCTTGTTAATGAGGACAATATCACATTTAGCATCATCTAAAACAACAGCTAATTCATTCAATTTATTTCTTATAGACTGGGCATTTAAATGCAACACACGTACACCAGAATCAGTTGGTTTTGGTTTACTTTTCTTTGGGATACCTGCTAAATTACATACAAGTCTGCTGTTTAAACTACAATTAAAATTAGAGCTTAAGCTATCAACCTCACAATGCATCAAGTTGTTGGATGGTGCACTACCAGTGGAGCATTTCCCAATGTAGGTCCTTCTGATGACTGCTTAGGGCTTTATATGATGTCTATCAGTGCTGGTTGCTTGCTGATGCTGATATCCTCCGTTGCCGGTGACGATGACGGAGTCTGTCTTGCCTTTGAGGTTGCTGCTCTCCTTATCTTGTCTGCTAGCCAAATTTTTCCCTTTTGGTTTAAGTGCATTCCATGTCTTGTATGGAGGTCTCTACTAGCTTTGCTGGCTTCCACCAGAGTAACATTGTCAAGTTCTTCACAAATACCTTTAAGAATCACATTAGTTTTTCTTGTTTCCACATTCACACAAGACCATTCTACCAAGTCATATCGATTAGGAAGATCAACCAGAATAACTTTTTGTTTATGGTATTTTTTTTAAGTCTTAGTTATGGAGTCAATGGCCAAGTGTGCTTCGTTACAAGATACATCATTAGTGCCACAGAGAACTACTAAAAAATCATTGTCTCTCAAGTTTTCTCCATCGATGTTCTTATGGTCTAAAACCTGATCGGCTCTTCCCCCAGGTTTAACAAAGCCAACTGGTTCATATGGTTGTTTATTTTTGTTAATATACCATGTCAGATCCTTACCATGGCTGTCAGAGCAAAGCAACATTTTTGCATTTGGAACTTTCTCACCTCCATTATCAGTGTTGGAGGTGTCAGTGGTGATGCTAGGTCCTAGATCTTCCTCTATGGGAGAGAGAGCTTCAAAGGGATTTTTGGTTGCAGATGAGGGCCTTTTAGTGTTCCTCATCACTGAAGTTTTCCTCTCAGACGATGTACTACCTTTTCTGTAGACAACTTGACTGAAATCAGAGTGAGAGTTGCTGAACGTGTCTGATTTTGGAGTATGGACCAGTGTGGTCTGAACCTTGTTGGTGAGGGCAGGAAAACATTTCAGACATTTTGACAAAAAGTGCTCTTTGGAATTTAATTTAGTTTGTAGCTCTGTGTTGTCTTTCTGCAGCACTTTCGTTACTTCTTCCAGACTTCTAATTGAGGACAACATTTTGGTCACTTCATCCTTGTTAATTTTGCATGTCTTGCAATGATTTTGATAGTATGTAGCATTTTTTCTGTATTCCTCCCTTTCTTTGTCACAGAGTTGAATAAGGTATTCTTATTGAGTTTGCTCTTTTTTTAGTCTATCTTTTAAACTAACAATTTCTTCATTCAGTTGTTTTTCTATATCATCAAATTTTTGTTTCAGTTCTTCTATTTCCTCATCTTTATTCATAATTATGTCCTCAAGCTCCAACTCACGAGAAGATTTACTGTTTTTAGTGTTGTATAATTCTTGTTTTAAATCTTCATTTTTGTTTAGAAGAGCTGGCCCAATTTCGGCAACAATGGACAAAGAAACTTCTAAGTCAGTGTTTTCAACTTCTACAAGATCATTTATATTTTCTTCAGTGGACTCTTGCTGACAGGCTGGACATTTCCAGTTTTCTAACTCTTCTTTTTTGAGATCTTTGACTACCGAATATGTCAAGTTAATACATCGCAAGTGCACCCAACTTTTACAGAACCCTGTGCAATATATAGCACCATGACAAACGAACCTTCCACTTTTACATTTGTTATTATTATCAACCATTATTGCTGTTTTGGAAAATAAAATGGGCAAAGTTGAAGTCTTAAAAATAGATACCAGTTCCAAACACAAAAGTGAGATAAGACATATATACAATGTACTATGTAAATATGGTCTGAGTCTGTTATCATATAGTACACCTGGTCAAGGTTGTTATCTTATCGCTGGGCTGTGGTTTTTCTTTGGTCTGTACAACAGGTTTTGTCTATCTCTACAGGTTTAGACAATTTTCCTGTACCTGGTTTGTGTTGGTTTCGTAATAAAATAGTCCTGAGTTTAATATGAAATAAAACAGTTTGTAGATATTGTATATTCACACGGTAATGTGTTAAACAATGTTTTGATAAAATTTACCAATCCAGAAACGCATTTAGGATAACACACAAGTTAGGTAAGTTCAATGTCAATGCTATGCTATAAAACGTTCAATGGATTTTTAGGTTTTCTTGGATTATAAATTGACTTACATAGAAAATGTATGTCTTCTTCCTTTAAAAAAATATGTCTTTTAAAGTCTAAAATACTATTTAATACATTTTAACCGCACAAAATTAAAAATTCCCTTAAAAACTAGGAGCTTAAAAACAGTGATGCTTCTGAAGCTGTCAAAGGAGTAGCCGTGAATCTATCACTAACAGTATATCGATTGCTATGGATCATTCTATTTAGTCATTTTAATATTTAGATAGTCCATCTGTTGAATTTAAAATATATTGCATTATATTAATTTTAAAATATTTAGAATCAAAGAAAACTTTTGCTTGTCCTGTGCAGTACAGTACTGCATGCCCTATATATGTGAAGGTGATTAAACTGAAACTCAACTAATTACCAATAAAACTTCTGCATCTAACAAATTTTCTTTGTTGCTTTTTCAGTGTGACTAAACAAATTAACAATGGATACACTGTCTACTAATTTAACTTATTCATTAATGACAAATGCCATTTAACTCCTTCACTAAATTTCTACAGAGGAAATATATTAGAACCTATTCAGTATGTAAAACTCTAGCACCACGCATATTCATAAATGCAGCCACGTTTTTACATGCAAGTACGACTGACAAGTCTGGGGTCAGGCAAACTTGCCACTGTGTGAGTATTTACTTGCCCTGGAAGTATTTACTTGCGCTTATTCACACCAATTGAGACGTTTTCCGAGGGTATACTTAACTTGAAAGTATTTACTTGCAAGTAAAAGTAAATACTTGTTTTATTCACTTCAATTTTAGTTTTTACTTGACTTTTAAGTATTTACTTGCCATACTTCTTTTTATTCACCCGGCCCATTGGTGTGGAAATAATAATTAAATTAGAGATCCATAAATTGGAGACCATCTTGAGGTTGATTCATCCTGCCACATAGTTTATTGTCACATAATCTACACTACTGTCACCTCTATAAAATATACCTGCTAATTGGAGGTCACGAATTGTGGATATTTATAGGCATGCATTGGCGTGCATGTGATACTCCCTGGTGTGGATTACCGTACGCACTAGTGAGTACTACAACTATCCGCAGCAGTACTATCCTGATAATTAGACCAATTCGTTAATTACAAGGTAAAAATGTGGTTCGGATTCCACTATACACTGTAGGTCCCTTTGTTGCCATTGGCTGTATGTACTATTAATTAACAGCTGTGTCTAAGGAACTTGTCGGCCTTAGTCACTAGCAAGACTGTTAGATCGTGCCACTCATCCTACACTCATCTCCATTCATACTTGACTATACTCATATAGTAGAAATACCTACATTCGTATGGTTGCCATTTCAGAATAAAGTAAAGTTTAAAGTATTTGGAGTAGGTAAATTTTGGTTTATTTATTTACACCTGTACTTCCATTTTGTTATGTTTTTCTATTAAGCCTATATTGCGTTGTTATTTCGTCACCAGCATGGCAACCCATAAGATCAATGTATTTTGTTATTATTATTTTAAATTCATTTTTTGTGCTTATTTTTTTCCTATTTTAATTTATGAAGGGATTCTGCACATCTACAGGAAAATCTCTTTCCAACAGTATACGTAGATTTTCCCTGCAATGCACACGAGCTGAGAAAAAATGTTTTAAAGAAACATGCTTGCCTATTAATATATAGATTATTATTAAAAGTATAAATATGTTAGCACTTGACAGACTTAAGTAGAGTTTTACCTGTGGATCCCTTGAATTCATAGTTTGGCCCTTCTCTCTTCAACAAGACACCAAACAGCTGACATTTTACATGTAGCCCAGTAGCATTTCTGATGCCGTCCAACACTTCGTAAAGAGGTTTAGAGTCATAGTTCTACACAAAATCACACATTTTAATGAAAATTGTTTATGAGACAATAACTAAGCAACACTGGAGATATACTACAACAAGGGTTGCAGTGGTAAATTACTGCCGGATTCCTAACAAAATCTTCTGCTGTACTCATTTATCAGGTTTGGTTGGTAGAAGAAACATTTAGAGAGAAATAGAGCACAAGTTTAATAGAAACTGTACACCTAAAGGTTAGTAAACAATTAACTTGACTAACATTTTAGGAACATAGATTTAAACCAAAACACCAAAATTAGCATTTTCATTGCTATAAACCTGAGAAGCCAAAATAGCATTAGAGCAGTCACATTTCTTATTTCGCATCAAGCCCAGGTCCCTCATTACAAGGGGGATGACGATTTCATTACTTGCACCAAGGCTACTGTAACAGTTATGTTGAACTGTACAATTTTATCAACTATACCCTATTAAATATACTATCCAGTCCACTTCGCCTGATATAGTTTGAGATGTTCCAAAATTATGCTCCTTATTTACTTTTCAATTTGTATGTCATTTGTTTATAAACCATATGTTATCTATCTGAACACCTACAGTAGACTCCCTCTTGTCCGGACACCTTTTAACCGGACACCGGTTTAACTGGACTACACTCGGCAGAAATGACATCTCTTTAACCGGATAATTTTTATCAGCACATTGGTTTAACTGGACTAGATCGGCAGGAATTGGGCGGTACTAAAACGACTGTTCTCGTGGGAAAGATTTCAGACCAGTGATCACATGTCTAAATACAATGCTCTCCTAAACTTAAGTTTAATATCACAGTAAACGTTCTGTTTTAACATGGTTTTGGGGACGTCGGTTTAACAGGAAAAACCGTTATCCAGACTGGCCTCAGTCCTGAGGAGTCCGGATAAGAGGGAGTCTACTGTATTTATTTATTTATTTATTTATTTATTTTATTTCTTTTATTACAATGCTGCAAAACCGGATAAACCCAGTTACGTTGTAGCATTAATATTCGAACAACAAAATATTGACATGCATTATAAATAATAAATATGGTAAAAGTTCATCTTGCTGAATAAATTATAATTATTAGTGTAATCACTCACAACAATACAATATATGACAAAAACGAATAAATATCAATAAATAACGTACAAATAAATATCCTAAAAAATAACATTGGCAATTATTTAAATATCTATAACAACAATAACGAATTAAATAAATAAAATACAACAACAAAGTCTGAACAGAGTAATTAATTTAATAACAATAATTATTTGGAGTAATTAAACATCTAAAAACATATTTCCTGAACGTACTGTGACAGTTAAAAAATATGTCTATTTGGTCGTTATTAATTGTGTTGAACAGCCTAACCATTTAGTTGAGCGGCATACACATTCCAACGTTCGTTCTAGAGAAGTGGGGGGAGAAGAGCAAACGCGAACGTGAATTGTGTCTGGGCAACGTGAACCGCACACGGGACAGCAGCGCTGCGTCGTCGAGCTCACCACACACCAACCGCCTCAGATACAACATCATTGACACTTTACGCCTAGTACTCAACTGATCGATTTCAAACAGTGTGAGTTCTGAGTATGGGACCAGCGTCGTATAGTAACCAAATGTTTTGTAATAAAGAAATTTCAAGAACCTTCTTTGGACATCCTCTATGAGATCGGATAAATAGTTCACACTAGGATACCATACCACAGAGGCATATTCTAATCTTGACCTGACCAGTGAACAATATAACAGTTTAATACTTCTCTGATTAGTAAAAATGTTGCCCAACCTGCGGATAAGACCAACAATTGAGAAGGCAGTCTTACAAATGGAAATCACATGATCATTATATGTAAATCTGGAATCAAATGTCACACCCAAGTCTTTAATTGAAGTTTTCCTCGAAAGAAGACTACCCCCAATATTATAACTACGCATGATGAGGTTACTAGGGGTTTTCTTTGAATATGTTACAACAGAACATTTATCCACATGAAATTTTAGATTGTCACGACTCCAAAGAAACAATCGATCGATATCATCTTGTAGCATAACACAATCTTGTTGGTTGTTGACAATAGTGAATATTTTGAGATCGTCAGCATATAGAAGAAACTCGCAGTTTATTATCAAATCTTTTAAGCTATCAATGTACAAAATAAATAGCAAAGGTCCCAAATTTGAGCCCTGAGGCACACCTGAGTCTACATCAAATTGTTCTGATAGGTGTCCCTCAAAAGATACAAATTGTTTTCGACCCCTGAGATATGAACAGATGAATTTTAAGAGTCCTTCAGAAAAATCGAAGTAGTTCAATCTCGAAAGCAAAGCCAAATGATCAACTTTGTCGAAGGCCTTCTCGAAGTCCGTGTAGATAACATCAACTTGATTACCACTACCAATAACAAGAATACAAAACTCAGAAAAATTTAACAGATTTGAATTAATGGATCTGCTGGGGAAAAATCCGTGCTGTTTTGAAGATAGAAATTTACTGACATGGCTGAACACTTTATGATGAAGAATTGATTCAAATACTTTAACAGGAGCAGGCAAAATTGATATTGGACGATAATTCTTTATGATGTCTCTTCGGCCGTTTTTGAAAATGGGAATTATTTTAGCTTGCTTCCATTTCGTTGGGAAAACATTGCTGGTAATCGCGAGATTAAAAATAGCTAGAAGCGGTTCAACAAACAAATCTGCACAGGCTTTGAGAATATATGGCGGTATTCCATCTGGACCAAGAGATCTTTTAGGTATGAGGTTTTTGAGTGCAGAGAGGACATAATGATACGAGACACAGGAGACATTGAGGCACGGGACGCCAGGCAGGGTCGGTGAGCGGAGCGCACGCCGACACAGGTCGTCGACCAAGAGATCTTTTAGGTTTAAGGTTTTTGAGTGCAGAGAGGATATCATGATACGAGAAACAGGAGACATTGAGGCACGGGACGCCAGGCAGGGTCGGTGAGCGGAGCGCACGCCGACACAGGTCGTCGATGCCCAGCTGACAAGGCTCGTACACAGACTTAAAGTAAGTAGCAAACTCGTCCGCTATGGCCCTCCCACCCTCCACAACCCTATCGTCCAATTTCATAACAGTTGGACTGTTATCATTAACTCTAAGACGTTTTACCACACTCCAAAATGTCTGAGGATTGCTCAACACATTGTTTTCTAAATTTGAAATATATTCTTTATAGGCTGATTTAATATTTACTTTAATAGTACTTCTCACCAGTTTGTATTAATTTAATGTTTCAATCATGTTATACTCATTTAGCTTTCTCCTTAGCCTTTCTTTTCTTTTGATCAAGGATATTATGTTGTGATTAAACCAAACAGGATACTTTGAAATTGATTTTTTAGCTTTTTGAACAAACTTATCAAATACATTATATAATTTAGTATAAAAAAATCAACAGATAAATTAACATCCTCAATAAGTCTAATTTCAGTCCAGTTTATTTTTTTTATTTCATTGTATAAACTAAAAAAATTGGCCTTTTTAAAATTATAGAAATAACCATTTTTATTAGGTTCTAGATCGTGATGAATACCCTTACAATCAAAACTGATAACTAAAGGTGGGTGGTGCTTATCAATATTTACAAGGGGACAGTTATCAACAGTCACATCTATACTATCTATGTCTGACAACACTAAATCTAAAGTTTTACCACTTTCATTTCTAAAATCATTTTTAAGACTGAGTTTTAGAATACTACAAAAAAATAATAGCTGTTTGCATGCATCATTTCCCAAGGCTAAATCAAAACTATTACCACTAATTTGAAGATTGTAATCCCCCAACAACAAAATATTTTCATTACTAAAGTTATAGCTGTAAAATTGTTCGTAATAATTTAAATAAACATGCAAAGGAGAATTTGGTTGAAAATAAACATTAGAAATAATTAAACGTTTTTTGTTACGGAATTCAAGCAATACTGATACATTTTCTCCCTCATTTTCCAAATCAGACAATCTTATCACTTTAATATTAGAAGCAACAGCTATCAATACCCCTCCACCTCTAGATAACTCTGTACGCTGTTCACATCTATCCCGTCGAAATACCTGGTATCCGGGCGGAAACAACTCTGCGCTTTTTACAGACTCATTCAACCATGTTTCAGTCAATGCTACCACATCCCAATTATTGGCAAACATGCCTAATCTAAACGGAGCAACTTTAGATCTTAAACCCCTTACGTTTTGATAATAAATACTTATTTGACTAGTCATTACTTAATATAAGACGTAGGATGAAATCTATATATATAATACGTGAAGCCGTATATTAATATAATAGTTGAAAATAAATAAGTAAAAATATTAAATAAATAAAGTAACGACAACATGCTAAAACGTGCAATTAGGGGTAAACATACATGCCTATTCACTTGAGTTGCTCCAGATCTGCTTTCTCCGTGATGTGGATGGCATTGTCCTTATCTGTTTTCCGCAGAAAGATCTTCCCGGCACTTGTGATCCAGGCGTACTTGAAGTCATGGTCCGCTTTAAAGTTCCTCACATCGCTCCAGAGCTGACGCGTCTCTCTGCCGAGCGACAAGCTGATATAGATTGTCCCCTCGCTGTGATATCCGAGCTCCGTCGCTGCAATAGATTTCTTCACCCTGGTCCGCTTACGCATTTCCTCCATGTCAAAGCGACGACAGAACTTCACTATGCTACCACACGGGAGATCGGGCTTCTTGTCATTCTTGGACAGTCTGTGCACGGCGTCATAACGGATCATGCTTGCGTCTAATTTGAAGTTAAGCACGTTAGCTACCTGCTTCACCACGGAAATAATGTTCTCATTCTTTGTCTCAGGCACACCACTTATTTCAATACAATTACTCCTAGAATATTGTTCACTGGCGATAACTCTTTTCTTTAAATCATTAACTGATTTATTAAGCGATATATTTTCACTTTTTAAAGCATCAATAAGCTCTTCGCAGGATACAATATTATTTGAATTTTTATTA